AAAAAAAGAATAAGAAGGAGTAACTGGTCATTAATTGAAATAATCTTTTTTTACAGAAACTTGCAGCTAATATTTTTGGTAAAAAATTGTAATATGGTTATCTGAGATCAATGACAATTTTTCTGCATCCTATCGACCAGCAAAATACAGCTGAAAACTACTGGAAATTACGTATAGACTGACAATAACAAGTTATTTATCAAAAAATTCCTTCCTACGTTTTTGACAGATTTAAATAAATACCATAAATTTAAAATTTTTTTTGTTATGTAAATTTTGCTTAATTAGGCTTTCTATTCAAAAAGAAATTGATAAATGTATGCACTACAAGAGAGAAGAACGTTCCCGTAAGGATGAACGGAACCAGTTGAGAAAAAAACATGGTGAACACACCTGGCATGACAAAATATACTGAATCCAACGGGAATAGGACTCATTCATTTTATCAACATACCATTTCCAAATCAATTTTGTTTTATTATTTAAAACACTAATCATTTTATCTATAGTCCATCTAAATTTGAATTTTGGCTTTTTGAATTTGTTATTGTTATTTAGAGAACTTGAAGACAGCAAATTGTTCTTCTGGAAATGTTAACCTTCGTTAAACTTCCAGCCGACTTTAAAATTTCTTCTTTGCCACCTTCATCGACAGTATCTTGGTGGTCTTCTGAAAAATACACTCCAGATACTGTGAAAACGATCATAATCTGGCTTTCATCTAATTGAGCGGTGACAAGAAAATTTAATGTAATCAAAAGTTCTTGTTTAAAAAACTAGCAATTAATGTACCATTAATATTATATTTTCGATTGAAAATGGCCATCACGGTAAGTATATTTTCAGTTTCGCTGAGTTCATATTTGCAACTCATTCCTTCTTTATAGTTTTTCCTTAACATTATGTTAAACAAATCAAATAAATATTCATTTGATTACAGCTTTTTTTGAAAAATAAAAAAAAGAAATCTTAACATTTATTTCAGTTCAAAATCTTAAATCAATGTTTTCTAAAATATTTTTTTCATTTTTTTTTAAATTTTAATTGCTAAATTACTGAACATCCTGCATAATGACAGTTTTGATATTTTCTTTTATTGAAGTGGTCGTGTTTTTAAATTAATAATAATACCTACCAAACAGTAAGGAGTTCTAGCTGCACAAAATCGGGTAAATTGCTGATATTTGACGGCAATTTACATTTAGTGTTTGGCTCTGGTACATTTGTCTGAAACAGCCTTCTCTGTTTTTTGAGAGAAAAAACTCAATATCAACAAAAAAGAAGAAAGGAATAAGGCTGAATCGCTGGCCTATACGAATAAAGATCAAGTCAAAACTATCGTACGAGAACAATTTGTACAGACAAATTATGTACTCCTGACATTAGATGATAATTTATTAAAATATGCAAAACTTTTTGTCAGTTAAACATTTGTGCACTTATTTTCATCACTTCTTTACCAGATGACCTACATTAATATTTTTATAAGTGTTTTAGAAAAGTTTTTAAATACTTGAGATAATCACTAAAAATGTTGCTTCTTTTTTCTTATGGTCAACTTTGATGACAACAATAAGGATAGCAATAGTAATAGTAATAACCAATACTGAGATACAAACACAACTACTAACTTCTTTTTTAGACTCTACTTTTTAAAATACTTCACCATATAAAAATTCAACGATAAAAAAATTTTTAAAAAACTGAAGTAAAAAAAAATTTTTACTTCAGTTACCAACTAACTACCGACTTTTGCAATAGTACGGAATTCTCCCAAACACATCAGCAGAATCAGTAAGGCGAGTGGACCCTGATGCATCATCCGCCGTTCTGGAATGGTAATCGGTGAAAACTGCAAATATTTTCTGATACTTCTAAAAAATTCAGCATTCTTTTTGATATTATCAGTTTTTTAGCTGACCACCTAGAAGGAAAAACTAAACTAATTTTCTCGTCCAGAAAGTCAGAGCGTTGCTGTACGACTTAAACAACGAAAGCATTTTGTTTCAGCAGTTCATTTCGACAAACTGAGCCACTTAATGCATTTTAAAAAGTTGCCTTTTTTTTTAAACGTTTAGAAGTTAACAATAATAGAGGAAGTAATAAAAAGTTTAAATTTTTGGTCTTTTTGTTTAGAGCGTTAGGTTGCATTAAAGTGACCCAGGAAGTAGCATTTGTTGGTTGGCTTGAACTCAAAAAAAAAAAAAAAAAAACAGTTTCATGAATGTGATTTACTAAAAATTTATAAAAGAATTCTCAAACAAAATTTCACCAGTCGTCTACGACCTCTCATTTAATTCTGTTCATTCTTAGTAAAAACAAAATCTCTTAGTTATAATGATGAAGAACAGTGAAATATAATCAGTAATAGTGTCAACAGCACTAAATTACGCTGAGAAATAAAAGCTAAATTTTGAAAAATTTCTTTGCATAAAACGGCAGCCCAGACAGTTTTTTGGTTTACGTACTAAGAAATTTTGAATTTAACATTAATAGAAATCCGCCAACACTTTTTCTAGAGATAATCCTTTACGCTCTCAGAATTGTTTCAGTATGTTTAGTTTATAAAAGCGTTATAACCAGCAAAACTTGTTTTGCTTTCGAAAGAGATGAGCAATTATGTCCTGTAAAGTTCCAAACTTTTTGACAGCATACAGAAACTCAATTAACACCTTATTTTATCTGTAATTTTTTCATCGACAGTGAAGGACTTTCACCAAATAGAAACTTGTTTTGCAAAGTTTTACTTGATCTTTCTGACTAAAACAGTCAATTAAGACTACGCTACATGTGTTACAATCGAAATACAAAATTAAAAAAAAAATAAAAAATAAAACAAAAATAAAGATAAAAACAAAAATATAAGTAAACAAGTTGCGGCTAACAAATACCAACCTGCTCATCTCGTTCTCCACGTCCCTTCGCTTGCTATCATAATTGGTTGATGAATTTGCGAACAGTAGGGTTAACAGCTACATTAAAAACTTCAGGTATGTTTAGTCCACGCGTTTCAATAATTAGTGTCGACATGGTGAGGTTCCAGCAAAAATTGTTTCAAGAATTCCAGTAGGTATTGAAGCATCGAAAAACTTCAGTTAAGTTCTGGAAGAAAAGCACCTCCAAACTGCAAAAACTGCCTTTTTCAAAAGCAAATAATTTTTTTACTTTTAAAATATTTGGAAATTTGATTACCTTTTAAATACCATTTTTTTGTCAGGTGGCACAATGTATTCAATTAGCTTTATTCCTGTAATCTTTACTGTGCACAAAAACCCAAACCATTTATTGTTTTTACATCAAAAAGTTTGATTTTGGTACGCGCACTTTTCACACTCTCATTAAGGTCATCATATTGTACAGGCTAACCATATCGTAACAAAGGAGTATAAGAACAATACTACATTAGAGTGGAATGACCGATTAAAATAAAAAAAAATCTCTTTCTTTGTCTAAAAAATAAAAATGAGAAATAAAAAAAATAGAACTACTCTTTTCCAGAAAAAGAAAACAATAAGTTTGAAAGAACATTTTTGTCTTTCCCTTTTTCGGATTTTCTTTTGACACCATCTTAATAAGCATTTTCATAAATTTGTTCAAATTTTTATAAGCAACAGTTCAGTGCTTTTTAAAACTGCTGACAATAACTCCATCATTATAAGTGTCTGCAGTTTGCATCGTTACCAAACACCAGGAAGAAAAGAAAGAGGACGAGAAAGAAAAGCAAAAAAAAAAAAAAAAAACGTTTGATGAAAAAATTGGTAGATTTCCTTCCTGTGCGCAGGTGTGTTTTTTATTTTTCATTTTGTTTTATGAGAGGAACAGGAAGATTATCTGAAAAAATCTTGCGTAGCGATGGCGGCTTGGTAGTTATAGCTTAAAGACGTTGTGTTCAAACGGAACAGTTGTATGAAAATTTTTTGGTAATTCTCTGCTTGTTTTAATTACACATATGTTAGTTACAGAGTTGTCTGCTGGTCACAGTACAGCAAAGTTCTGCATTTCTGCCTATGACGAGTGAAAGGAGGAGAAGGAGAGAAAAAAAGGTGTATGAATTTTATGCCTGTATTCAATTTTTCCAACATTTGTTATCAATCGTTTTCTAATAAGTGTTGTTATAGCAACTTTTTATTCGTCTTCCCTATCTTTGTTCCATTTTTCTACATGGAACCTCTCTTGTAAAACAATTTCATCTGTTTAATCATTTATTTGTTTATTTACATATCTCTTATTAGTATTAATAACCTTATTATTATTTGATTCGCGCATAAAATTCTACTGAGATTCAGTGTGACGCAAAAAAAAAAAAAGGAAAAATGCATGAAAGTTACAATACGCTTAATACATCTCAAGTGTATGGAATATAAAGCGCCATCCTCATTGTTGTTACAGAGATAATTGGTATCCGGCTTTCGTTGTTAATTGCTGAAGTACAACTGACT